GGCTACTGTGGAGCAGAAGTCTGGAGTATGCACTGTGTATCTCCTGCATCCCAGATCAACGCAATTTGCAATGCTGACCCAATTAATCATTTTGGCAACCCCATCCTGAGAAAGCAGACCCAACATTCAGACAGCAAAAGGAGATCAGACAACACATGCAACACATAGCTGAGGACCACCAGAAGCAGAGCCTCGATACCTTGACAGCTGAGCTTTGGCGGCAGCACAGGTGAGCTCCAGTCCAAACAGTGTTATGAGGTGACCACAGATTCAAACATCAACTCTGATGGTTGGAGACTTAAGGTGTAGCTGTCAGTGTAAGATGGAACTGGAAAACATCAGGTAGAATTAACAGACCAAACAATAAAGCCAGACAATGGACACTATGAGCTGCAATGGCTGGTGCCACCAGTGCTGACCAAAATGTCTAAGATACCCAGATTGTTGCCTGTAGAGTGGATTGTGAGAGGCAAAAAACTGTCATGCCTATATGGAAAATTCAAGACTCAAGCAACATCCATATCATTACCTGCATGTGTACATCTGCATTCAAATTATCTTTCAAATGATGAAGGGGCTTATGATGCTCAAAAAGTTAAATTGTTATCAATGTGGAGTCAGCCTCATAAAGTGAATTGGTTGCATACAATATGAACCAAAAAAGACCTCTTATCAAATTATTCCCTTATAGCATGTGTTATCAAGGATACCAGCATGACCTTCTTTCATTAACACCCACAGACTGTGAGCACATGCCCATCACTTCTAGGAGATATTTGAGAGGCCAATGGCAATTTTGCTCATCTAAAATGAAATTTTTGTGGTTCCAAATCCCTCCCAAGCATACCAAGGGGCTTTGAGATGCCCCTCTGGCCTCTGAGTAATGGTTTACCAATTCCAAAAAGTAGCTTTGATCAGATACTTTTGGTCCAGTGGCTAAATGAAACATTGGGGACCGCTGTTTGGCTGCTCAAAGCACGGTTCTTCTAAATAAAGCACAAGGATTCAGCTCAAAGTATGTCTCATCAAGGCTTGCAAACTGGGCTGTTTTGAGCAGGGAAAAATACACCATTTAAAGTCCAGACCAGGCGCCCGTAAGTCGCGCCCTACTCGCAACCGTTAAGATGTGCTGCCTCGGCCCTGGATGGTACAGGGACGATGCCTCTTTCTCTGGCTAAGTTCTATCTCATGTCAATTACCTCCACACCATGTCTTTCACATTTACTAACAATGCGAACACATGCACTACTACAAATGCCCGGCCGCCACACGTTGTCGTGGGTTCAGTAATCCCATTTACCCCCAACCACTAACGCGCGCCGGCCACGGTGTAAATATTGACATATGGGAACTTAGCAGCATGCACTTCTGCTAGACCGCGTTTTGGCAGTCTTGTTCCAAATCGTCGTCTGTTGTATACAATAGCTATATTTGCCAGAATTACCGTCATTCTATTGGGCTACAGTTGCACACACAAAATATGATTGGATATTTGGCAAAACAAATTCACTGAGCGCGCTATTGCGAACACAACCCCGTAAGATGCCCTTAGTATGACGCAAATCTTTTGATTGTAGTTGTGTCCATACCCTGGTTTTGCTACCATTTAATATATTGGATATACTTTTATCTAAAAATATTTTGAAGCGTCATAAACTAACTTGTATGGCATGAGTAAACCAAAACATGCAAAATAAGGCGTTATTCCGTATGACGTAATCAAAACTAGATCGATACATGACTGCACTAATGCATCATGTCAAACGTGTATAATCTGGCGCAGGACCTGCAATTGTAAACAGATCTTGTAGTGGGGTGGTGTGTAGTTATGTGGGAGGCCATTAAGGGAGCGGTACGGCGCCTATCGTTTTTATGCATGCAGTTGGTTAGCCGTAGACATTCTGTCTGGTTTGTGTGAACATCTTCTCTTAGGTTTGTGCACGTGGACGATGATGTGCTGCTGTCCAGTAGCGCGTCATGCATATATGAATTCAATCCCAGTTGATGGGTGCCGTTTATGCTCTAATACGACTTGCATGATTTTTAACTTGTGACATTTGTCCATTACCACCATTAATGCGGTCAAAATGTGAAAGGTCCCAAGGTGCAATTACATCCTGTACATGTATCAGTGATTAGCTGACCTATTGCGTAATATTTGCCCTGATGCTAGGATATCCCCAATGTTGTGTTCTTTTTCCAACCACATTTACGCATTACTCTTGACATGACAATTTTGATTTTGTAATTGGTGGCAGTAAGCATGACAGCAACATTATGCAAAATGCAATGTCACACAGTAAGTATTGCAGTTGTGTCATGTTATGAAAGACATTGCCACATCTAAGAAGACATCTTCCATGAAAACATTGGAGTTCACCATTGCACAACATTGATGTCATGTGTCAAGAAGTTAGATTTCTGGTGGACATTTTAAATATAGAACATGTGTATTTAGCTGGAAACTGGTATGAACAACCACTGCCACCACTTCAAGCCCATGTGCAATATGCACTGTCATGTGATGCATGCCTGCCACATAAAATTTGCTTATGGTATTGTGTATGCCTGCCTCCTTATTCAAGGGATCAAATATAAGTGTGTTT